CTCTCTCCCCCTCTCAGAGAAAGGGAGGGAGGGCGAGAGGGAGAGAGAGAAAAGAATAAGAATAATAAAATAATATATTGATAAAATCACCATCAGTCAATTGCAAAAGGTGGAACAGCTTACATCCTACGACAATACCTTTCACACCATCAGACAACAATATCTGCCTATCCTAGGTCCTTGGGAAGGACTTGATAGGTGGATAAAAATGCCACATCCAGTCTAAACATCTGACTGACTGTGTGAAGGAAGAGGAGGAAGAGGAGGAGGAGCTACTTTCAAGCTGGCTTTTCTCTCATTGCTTGAAATCTTAAGACACATGAAAATCAGACTCAAGGAACCTGAAAAACAATATTTTTTTTAAAAAGTGTTCAGCCTTGGAGCACATAAAATCTGTGATTTTCCTCTTACCACTTCAGGACCATTGACGCCACCATTCTTAGGCTAGCAAAGCAAATGGGCTTTCAGGACTGGTATATATCAGCCAGGACAATTTTAAAAATGGGGTGGTTTATCAATCAACAGCCATCAATTAAATTAAACATTAATTTTTAAAACCTTTAAAATGTTTTGATTTATTTTTGGATAAAATATCTAGAATAATTTCAAGTTTCCCTACCCCTGGATGCATTCTTGAGTGGTTTGATTTACAAGTTCATTCAGCATTTGATCTCATATTTTATTTTAGAATATTCATTTAAAATCTGAATAAAGCCAGAAAGAGCACATTAAGGAATATTCAACTAGTATGCCAACAGTGTTGCATATATATTGCAGTCCCTACAACAGTACTGGCTTACTGAAGACTTTCCTCTGCCCTAGGAAATACCTGTTTATTAGCACTTAAGACTCCATCTAAGTGCCTGTGGTAAAATACCAAGGATGTGCAGTCAGAAAGGGAATGAGTTTATACATAAAGCCAGAATTTTTAAAAGCATGTTTTGTTGAATAAGCCACAGTAGCCTTATTCATACATAATGGTAAACCATAATGAGTAGCCACATATTCTCAGTCACATATTATATTAAGCCCAAAACAAAACAAACTACAATGTGGCTTACTGTTCTTATGAACCAACACAACATCTTGTGTAAGTGTGAAGATGCAGTCCAGTAAAAATGATGCTATAGGACAGAACTGTAAGAACCACTTCCAGATCCTGTTAACCTTTTGCTGTTAGCTGTCTTGAGTGCTTTTTTGGCAGAACAGCCAACTTCTTAGGCCAAGATGCTATAACTCATGAGTGTAAGAACAGCCCTTTAGATCAGACAAAAGTCTATCAAATCTATTATAATTTCACACAATGTCCAACCAAATGCTTCTGGAAAGCCTACAAGCAAGCATGAAGGAAATAGCCTTTCCTGACTCTTGTCTGCTAGTAACAGGCATTGAAAGATACAACATTATGAACAGGACAATTCTATTAGGAAGCAAGATTATTAACCAATACCCTGTAATTGTCCCACACTCTAAGATCTTGCCTAAATCCCTTTCAAAGCCTTCCAAAGTCAAAAGCTTCAACACTTTTTGCAGCTGCAAACTCCATAAATTAATTTTGGGATGAATGGCATTCCCCTTCTCCCCAGCAACTATTGAAGAGGAAATTTAAAACAATACATTGTTAAGTTACAGCCTAAAAACTAATTTAAAATCATGGCAATATTACTAGTCTCCCTCTAGCTGAACCAGGTGGCTGTTATCCTTGTTCGTTCTGAATGTTGTTTCATATGATAGAAGATGCTTTCTCCTTTCACTTACTTGCTCCAAATAAGTCCCACATTTAACACTGCCTGATCAGCTTCAGTAGACTTTTCAGCTCTCCTTTACTCAGGCTATTCTTAGGAAGGAATACACTCTGAGATCTACAAGTAATTCCACTCATCTATGATATAAGCTGGACTAAAGCCATTAACTCTCACAGGAGCAGTTCATCCTGCTACAATATCACATAATGCATTTAGAATATGCATGGTTGCCAACTCACGGTCTGACATTTCTTAAAGCAACAACTGCTAAAATCCTAGCTTACCTTAAATAGCTAATAACGTTACACTCAGATTTTGAGGAGTTAATTTGCAAGCGTTAGCAATATTTTCTATAAGTTAACTTTTTTGGTTTTAAATATCTGGATATAAAATAATTCAGTTTTGAAAAAAATATATACCAATTGTGTGTGTGTGTGTGTGTGTGTGTGTGTGTGTGTGCAGCTAGCTAGCTAAGTTATGAAGTTTGCATAAGCTGCAGCAGCATTTCGCAAGCAGCGTATCATGGATATATACACACACACACACAAACAATTTGTATCATACATATTTCACTGCGAACAGTCATACTGTATTTTTCCGACTATAAGACAATACTTTTTTCTAAAATCCTTATGCTAAAAATTGAAGGGCGCCTTATGCAAGGAAGTAAGCTTAGGAGAGAACCGCGCGGTTGCAAAACTGCCCATACTTTGTCTCTGCAAACAGGCTTCCTCCTATTGCTAGCCTCCAATCATGAGTGAAATAGCTTGTCTCTGCAAACAGGCTTCCTCCAATCATGAGCCTCCAATCATGAGCCTCCAATCACGAGTGAAACTGCCCATACTGTCTCTGCAAACAGACTTCCTCCAATCACGAGCCTTATGTAACTGACATCAGCTGATGCTGAACAAACCCATTGGAGGAAGTCTGCTTGCAGAGACAAACTATCGGCAGTTTCACTCGTGATTGAATGTAATCAGTTATGCAAAAGAATATTTTCTATAAGTTAACTTTTTTGGTTTTAAATATCTGGATATAAAATAATTCAGTAATATTTTCTATAAGTTAACTTTTTTGGTTTTAAATATCTGGATATAAAATAATTCAGTATCAGGTCAATGTTACCTAATTACTAAATAAAAATGTGTTCTGCACTATCTTTAAAATATTGATTTCTTAATTTTGGGTTGGGAAAGTGGGGGTCGTCTTGTACATGGGGGTGTCTTATTGATGGAAAAATATGGTATTTTGATTTCAAGCTCAAAATGAAGCTCTATTAACATGGGAGCTTTGCTTTGAGTTCAAAACACTCAAAACAATGTTTTTACAGTCTACTCTGATAATGTACTTGTTAAAATGTATCCTTTCGTAGTGTGAAGTCTGCAATAGGTTTCAGCTTTGGTTTTGTTTCTGTCTCTTCCACAGAGCTTAACTCAGAGAAGTACACACAAAAAAGTCCTCTACTAGATTATGGCAACAAGAGGCACACTGCTGAATACTCCACAAAGAATTCCAATGAATCTCCTGTTTATTAAGCTGACAATATTACATTACTTTCATTCAGGTCTTGACTCTATACTGTTCACCCATACTTTCCAGGTGAAACTGTTTCTGTACCAGAGAACAACATGTCTTCCTTTTTAGGTGACCACTGTGCTTTAAATCAGAAAACAACCACTCTGAGTTAAATATTAACTATTTAGCTGAGCACCTGAACAAGTGTCCTGCCTCTAACACACTTCTTTCAACTTATATCACTCACCTGTTGGGATCTGAGTCTTACTGGGGTGGTGATGTCCACCTACTCCTGGCTGTGGAGGAGGACTTGTTCCGACTTGTCCGGTACCTTGCGCTGGGCTCGTGCTGATAAGAGTTCCAGCAGGCAGAGGCTGGCCTCTTTTTAAGAGCTGCTTCTGTTCTTGTTGGCGGAAGCGTGGAGGCACCTCACGAGGCAGGTATCGGGATGCAGCTGGCTGCTGCCCGTTGGCAGATGCACGCTTGCCATTATTATTGTTGGTAATAGTGCTGGTGGAAGTACTGGTACTGGTACCGGCAGGTTGGGGCTGGCTTAAACTGGTCTTAATAGGTTCTGGCACTAAAAAAATAAAAAGTTAAGAAAATATTTATTAAGAGGGAGAATTACACATAATTCTCCTTAAACCCACCACACTTGAAATTAAAATCCATCAACATGCTCTTTGCTGGAATAAACAAGTGAACTCATCATGAATATAACACTTAAGAAGCAAGGTTTATGCTACATAAATGTTATATGTTTTAGGCATGGTAATATTATTGCGACCAAAAATTTAAAAACAACATTTCTGGACATCTCAGTGATTTCTAAAACTTTATACTATATATATTAACATTGTTTTTCCCCATGTCTCCAGGAGTATGCCACAATAAGATGATTTTTTTCTGTCTTTTGATATTAAGAGCAGATCAACCTTGGGAAGACTTACATACACTAAGGTAAAGCTTCAACAACAACAACATCCCCCTGCTTTGGGTAGTTATCGGTTCAATCTCAGATGTGAACAGGGTATCCATAAAGCACCACAAAATTTTAAGGGCATAGGAAGAAGTTGTCGGTGAGATTATGGAATTACAACTGCTGAGGTAAGAAATAGAGAAACGTGTCAGTTTTTCTAGTCTTAATCTCTTTTTGCTCCATTTTTAAGGAAGCAATTTTCCATAATAATAATATACTGAATAATTTTTAAAAATGTGAATGTCAAAGTGCAGTTGCATTTTGGTTTATATATTCCCCTGGTAGGTCTATATTAGGTAAATTCACATTGAAATGTGAAATGAACAAATTTCTTCCCTATTCTTATTTATGTCCTTAAAATATAAGAGCCAATTAACTTTAGTTAGCTCCAAAATTAAAAAAACATAAATGAAGCTTTTTCAGTATTGCTATTATATGCTTCATCTTTTTAGAATCACATTCTACTACATATGATTACATAATAAATCTATTTACAAAATGTTTTAATACCTTCTTTACAGTTCAGCAATTTATAAAGGAATTTTAGAGCAACATAAATCAGTTACTAAAATGTACTAAGTAAGAGAGAGGCATGAAAAATAAATCACCTCAAAAGAAAACTATCTGAATACCCAATATTTATTTGCCCCCAAAGCTTTCATATGAGTAACCATGTTTTCACTGTGTATTCTTAAGGCAAGCAGCAACTGAACCAGCTTTTCATAGTCAGGAGACCAAAACAACAAATACTATTTTATATACCCACCAACCTCATTTCTGTAAGTAAAGAACAGCAGAACAGGCCTTTAAATGTTGACCAGACGGAAAGGCCATGCACATGTGAAACCAGACAGTCCTTAAGATATCCCTGCCTTGCATTGTTTAGAGCTCTTAAAGGTCAAGCTAGTACTCTGATTCGGAACTGGAAACAAATCAGTTATTAACATAAATGGCACACTGCCATAGTTATATGCTCAGTGCCCTGAGATCTAGTTACAAGTCTTGCTTCTGGACTGTGAGCCAACTGATGTTTCTGATCCCTTTTAAAGGCAGAGCCACGTGGAGGACACTATATACTCTAATTTGAATGTTACCAGGCATAATGAAAGATAATGCAGTGCAGCAGTAAAAGTTGATACACATAGTCCTCACTTATTGACCACAATAGGGACCAGAAAATTCATTGTTAAGCAAGGTGGTCATTAAGTAAGTCATGGCTGATTTTACAACCTTTTTTGCTGCAGTCACTAAGCAAATCACCATGGTTGTTAAACGAATCCTGTGGTTGTTAAGCGAATCACACGGTTCCCCATTGATTTTGCTTGCTGGAAGCAGGCTGGGAAGGTCACAAATGGCGATCACATGACCCCAGGATGCTGCAACCATTGTAAATGCATGCAGGTTGCCACGCACCTGAATTTTGATCATGTGACTGTGGGGATGCTGCAGTGGTTATAAGTGTGAGGACCGGTTGTAAGTCCCTTTGTTCAGTGCTGTCATAACTTCAGATGGTCACTAAACGAATGTTTGTTAAGCAAGAACTATCTGTATCTTTAAAATCAGCAAATTGTGACCCTAGTACACACAACCCTAAGTCAAAACCATAACAAAGACTACAGGGATATTCATATAATCCTACTATTTTCTTAACAAATTACAATGGAGATTTAATTTTGTCTTTCACAAATACCTCAATTATCTCTCATTGTGGAAATCAACCACTTATACTTAGGTGGAAGCAGAGATGCCAATCTTCTTTTCTCTGCTACTCTGAACTACTACAGAATAAAAATTAGCTTAAATATTCTACAACATTTACACCAGCCCTTGTGTTTTACATTCTTTTCAACTTCATTTGTAAAACTCAAAGTCATTGTGGTGAATTACATATGCAGTACATTTAATACAAAACCTGGAATGTATATACTGGGAATATAGATGAAACACTGACTTTGTTTAAATCTCTGCAGCTGCACAAAACTAGAAACATTTCCTGAATTTTTAACTGGAATAAAACCAGAGCCTGATCCCCACTGAGATAATATTATCCAAGAACAAGGCACCATCAAACAGAACAAAGATTCTGTTAATACATTTGGTTTCTTTCACCATAACCTGCTAAGTCAAAATATATAAAAATAGATGAAATCACACATAAATTAATGGGGCAGTACAACATCATACACTATACCCACAACTGTGAAATGGAACAACTTATGCAGAACATTTTGTTGCAAGACTTAAACTTCTGAAAAGTTTTAAAAACCTTATCTTATTAAAGCTATAGAAACATAGGCTGTAAGGGTGAGAAGGGACCTTAGAGATCATCTTGTCAAACCCCATGCCCAGTGCAAAAATTCACTACAACAGCATGCTAGACAGATGGCCATCTGTCTAAACACTTTTAGCAAAACAGATTCTATCGCCTTCTAAGGCAATAGAAGAATAAAAGCAGAATATAGGTATTTTCTAGAAGCAGTTGGAGATGGGTAGGGTGTTCATGGAGATTACTTACTTATTACACTATCAAAGGAAACCATTTTGTCTCATTTAATTAGAAAGGTTTAGGATATCTTCATATGATTGTTATCTGATTAATCTACTCACAACTGAGGCTTGTTTTTACTGAGTTGAAGTTTCTTTATGAATTGACCAGACACCAAGGGAGCTGCCCTTCCATCTGCATTTACTTGCAAATCAAGACATTTTGTAGCAGTTTTTTTTGCTCAACACATTCTATATTCTGATAGGAGAATATAAATTTGGAAATAGGAAATGGTTGCAATGATTCAGCTATCTTTACATGATGAACACGTCCAACATTATTACCATTAAAAGATCCTGAGGCCTTTATTCCAAACAAAACAAATTATTACCTTATACATTTCTCAGATTACAATCTTCTCTTCTGTGAAAGTCATTTGTTCACAGGAGACACCACTGCTTTAGGTTTTCAAATGTAAGGTACTGGAGGTACTCATTTTACCTAAAGTAAAATATTACAAAGCTATCTAGGTGGTGTTTTAGGACAGGAAATCAAGATTATAGCAGAATTAATTCTGAGGTGAAATTTGTGTCATCATGCTTGCTATTTTTTCCCTTATTCAGACCTATTCTCTTATTTACATCAGCCATGCATGCACATCCTAGTCCAGATAGATACACAGACACACATACATATATAAAGACCTGCCCTCAAGATATCTATCAAATATGTCACACATAATAAGGCCAAATTTGCTTGGGTTTGCATCAACTTCTACCACAGAGCAACTGAAGATCTAGAAGGGAAGAAGTGCTATGTGCACAATACCACTGACAGCTCCAATGCTTTTAGCAGTTATCAGAATGGCTTAAAAGGGAGGAGTTTCTGTCAAAGAAAAATCATGAGGATTCTTGCTAGGAAATTCTAAATACTGGCCAAAGATAGATATTGTAGTTGTTGTATCTTGAGAGCCTTGAAAGAGAAGGTATGGAAATATCTCTACTGGTTACATAGAAAAGCGTACCAACAACAGGGAAAAATAAACATGGCTGGCTCAAGAAAATAACTTAGATGTGGCAAAAGGCCAACTGCAATTATTTTAAAAATGTGTTTTGTATAGGGGCAATCTGGAAAAACTAAATATCAGATGCACAACAGAACTGAAGATTAGATGGCAAAAAAATTGTAGGGCCAATATCAAAAGCATAAAGTTCCTTCAGTAGGTAAACAGAAATTTTGTCAAAATAAATGCTTGTTGTCTTTATCGAAATAATTGCCATCTGTTTTTATGATATAACAAATAAAAGAGACAGCCTTAAAAATTATTATACTATCCAAGCAGACAAAAATGTCTTTTACTTCATCTGCTCAAACAGCATTTAAAAGCCAGCTGGTTTATTCAAAGGGTCAATTTTGACATTATGCTAAAGTATGTTTAGTGTTACATGAATGAGCCTACACAAGCCCCAGACTCACACTTCCCTGGTATCCTCTTTCTCCTCTGGTGCATCTGGAAAAGATCAGAAGCATCCATTTTTTGTTTTTATTGGACTCATCGAAGCTTTCCATCAAGCCCTCATGCAACTAGTGAACTAATGTTCAATTAAAAAAAAAATTAGGTGAAACATAATTTAAATTAAGCTGACTTCCTCCAACCATACACATAATTTGTTCTCCATGCTGCTGCAGTATCAAAAACAAAGGGCTATGTGAAAGTCAGAGGCCTGTTCATATAATGATAAATCACAGCTGTACATTTAAAGGGGAACAAAATCTCCCTTTAGAGTGTTTCAATTAAACATGGCACCATTTTCAAATGCAGCTTGAACTATATTCAATGCTTAAATTGAAATCCTTTGCAGAAGGAACAGATGGGAAACACAACTAAGTCAGTGCTCTTTCCAATGACTTCTTACAATTTTTATCTGGCCAGTGGTTTTTGTCCCCCCCCTCCCAGTATTTATTTCTCTTTTTGTTTTTCTTTCTCCTGACTCCAATGGGATTGAAATGAACTAAATCTGCTTGTAAATAATTCAGCATACACTGTACTTATTCCTTTGTTCAATTACTATCTCAGGGAAATGGGAAAGTTTTGATCCAAAGCCTCTTTAGAAAT